CGTGGGACTAGCCGGAGGTTGCCCAGTGCCTTCCTCCACGTGCTAACAAAGCTGCCAACACAGCGCAAATTGAACCAAATGCACGTGCTGTTACAAATATTAATATTCTGGCTAAACTTCTTCCTCAGTTGGCCAGGCTTGGTTTTCTCGGTCCCATCTGGACCGTTCTGGGTCCTGTCTCTGCAGACTGGTAGATCTTCTCCCCGACTTTGCCACCAGCCCAGCCCTTTGGAGCAGCAGCTCAAATCAAACCTTTTCTCTGAAGCTGCAGCCCCTTTTTGTCATGGGCTGGGGTAAAAGGATCTGCCCATGTCCGCAAAGCAGCAGAGAAGAGATTTTGCAGGTGTTTGCACGGAAGGAGCCGTACAGGGAGCTATGAGCAGGGTCCCTCTGGCTCCTGGAGACAAAACCCTGACCAACATCCCTGCGAGCCCCAGGTATCCCCCCCACTCTTCCCCTTTCGCTTCCTTCGGGGGCTGCTGACTTTTCTCCCTCAATGGGACACCCAGTGCAGGAATTGAGGGTGCCAACGTGGGGGGCACCGAGCCAGAAGGACCCCACAGAGCTCTCTCCCTTGCTGGCTCCAGGCTTTGGGAACTGCAGCATCCTGACAGCGGTTCCTCCCCAGTGGTCTCCGCCTGAACGCATCCTTCCTGCCTGCATTTTCGGCGGCTTCCCCCGCTGCCGTGTCCTGTCGGTGCCTTCCCGCTCCGCAGACCGGTGCCGTTTCTCGCCCCGCTGCAGGCACGCGAGAGTCCGCTTTCATCCACGCCATCGCCGCCGCCAGCGTCGCCTTTGCGGTGACCCGTGCCTGCAGCCGCGGGGAGCTGGACAAGTGTGGCTGCGACCGCAAGATCCGAGGAGTCAGCCCCGAAGGTGAAGGAGGAGGCTGGTGGCAGGGAGGGGGTGGCAGAGCAGAAGATCCATGGGAGAGACCCTCACCAGCGGAGGAGACATCTCCCTCCTCCGCAGCCCTCAGCCCTTTGGGAGCTCCTCCCAGGGCTTTTTCTTCTTCCCCTCATGGCTGCTTTCCCTCTGCAGGTTTCCA